TCAGTTTGGGCGTCTTCTCAGGGAAGCCTTCCCTGAAGAACCTAGGCTTCCACTATGATAGCATTTGTCAAACTGTATGTAGTCTTCTTCATTGGGCTGTGAGCTCCTTGAGGGTGGGGACTGTGTCTTATTCGGTCATGTACCAGGCCCAGGGACATGTATGAGGTCTGTCCAGAAAAAGTCCAGCCATTGTTAATATAATGAAAGGTTCGTGCAACGTCAATGTAACGGCAGCCAAGAAGAGTGGACTGGAATGTGTATGCATGAGCAATGACGACTTTACTGTACTAGTCATTGGGGGTAGTAGACGCCGTTGAATGAGCATGTGTACTGTGTGGCCATCGTATTCAAAATTACTAAGCAAGCAGAGCAATGAATCTGCGTCAAATTTTGTGTTAAGCTTGAACATTCCTCCATGGAAACTATTCGGATGATTCAGAAGGCCGCAGCTATGGGCAACTGGTGATGGGCAGCTCCAGCATCACATCACACCCGCTCATGCAACATGCCGCATGCAGTGTTTTTTTGCAAAACATCAAATCACCCAGGTGACTCAGCCCCCCTACAGCCCAGATTTGGCACCCTGAGACTTCTGTCTTTTCCAAAACTAAAATCACCTTCAAAAGGGAAGAGATTTCAGACTGTCGATGAGATTCAGGAAAATATGACTGGTCAGCTGATGGCAATTGGGAGAACTGTGCGAGGTCCCAAGGTGCCTACTTTGAAGGGGACTGAGGTATCGTTGTCCTATGTACAATGTTTCTTGTATCTTGTATCTTCTTCAATAAATGTCTCTATTTTTCATAGTACATGGCTGGATACCTTCTGGACAAACCTCGTATAAGACTTGATATACAAAGAACTCAATAAATGAATAGCAGGAAGTACTATTACTATTACTAATGATAATAACATTGTAACTAATGATAATAACGTGCTGCTTATTGTGTCAAGTACTCCGCATTCACCTATTCAGGCGTGAGAGCTCTATCCCGTCCTGATTGCTCCTTTACCCTCTCCACCTGTATCCAGTCTGTCCCAAAGCCTGCTCCCTGTAACTACTAATTGTTCCTCAGATCTGCACTGCTTCCCATGGGCACTGCTTCTTTCTTGGTCCAGCCCAGCATTACCTCAAAACAGGTGACTGCAGCAGCCTTCTCCGGGTCTCTCTCCCTGCGTCTTGCCCTCTAATCCATTCTCCATTCGTGGGGCCACAGCGATATCTCTAAAATGCAAACCTGATCTCTGGCATGCCCCAGTGTAAAGCTTTTCTGTGTTTTCCTTTGCCCTCAGGCTCTCAAGGACCATCGGAATCTCTGCCTTGCTCTCCAGGCTGATCTCTGGTCTCTCACCTCTGCCCTTCCACTCTCTTCCCCAGCCTTTCCAGTCTACTTTCATCTTGTATCCCAGCCCGAGATCTGAGGTCTGTGTAAGCATCAGGTGGGGTCTCGGGTGTCTGGCTTGTGAGTGGGGCTAGGAGAATACAGGGAGCCTCAGGAAACAAAGGTGGCAATGTTGTAAAGGAGACCTAGGAGAGTTGACCTCAGTAGCAGGTACTGTGATGGTCATGCCCTATAGGTGCCTGGGGCTGCTTATAGAATCCTGGGAGTAAAAGAAATGCCATGAGAAACAGACTGTTAGGAAATCTGGAGGGAACATCCAGTTCTACTTTTTACTTACCATTTCGTTGAGCATCTAATAGGTATCAGGCACTAGGCATATTATATATATTATCTGATATAATTCTACAATAACCCCAAGATGTAGAGATTATTACTAATCCCACTTCACAGATATGGAAACTGCAGTCTGCAATAGTGAAGTAACTTGTCTAAACTCAGGCTGCAAATAAAAGCCAAATACAATTTGAACTCTGGCCTATCTGACTCTAAGGCCAGGCTTCACTGAGTGAGGGTTCTGAGGGGGATGAAATCTGTTTAATTTTCATTCTTCTCTCTCTCTATAAAGCCTGAAACAGGGCCCATAGTCTTTTTCAAATAAAAACTTCCCCCACTAACGGTCTCATTTCCTGGTTAGACATCACAGCCAAGGGCCATCAACTCCAAAAGATCTCCAAGAGAGGGCCCACTTGGCCCCTGGCTTGAAGAGAGAGATGTGGGCACAGGTGGCTAGGATGCGATTTGGTGGCAGGGTGGGGAGAGAGAACAGGACAGGCCCGAGGCCAGAACAGGAGTGGGAAGGCCGCAGAGGCCCTAAGGGAGGGGATGTGAGGGGCAAACTTCGCCTCCTTCTCCCCATCCCTCAGGAAAAGCCCCACTGGCTCCTCGGACCTCGTCCCAACTCCCCTTGGAACCCCTGAGAGTCTGCGTACATGGGACCATAAACACATCTTAGATCGTGGAAGCTTAACATGAGAGAATCTTAGAACCACAAAATTGTACAATCCAAAGGCTTCATGTTCTAATGAAATGTAGGCTCTTAGAAACATGGAATTTTCAGATCTTGAACCTTGGAAACCTGGAACCTTGGAGTCTTAGAATTTTGAAATCATGGATTTGTACACTGTTCAGAAAACCTTTGAAAACTAAAGTTCATCCCCCACCCCCACCATCCACACACAGACACACACATTTATTGTGCAGATGGGACCCGGAGAAGGGAAGAGTCTTCCTCAACGTCCCAGTGAATCGGTGGCATGAAGAGCTAGAGCTTCTTCCACCAGCCACATGCAAGGGTTAGGGCTAGTGCCAGGGCCGCAGGGACAGAGGCAGAGGCGTGGTGAGGTGGGGACTGTGGTTGCAGGAGGCCTCCTGGGGCTGAGGGATGGCCTGGCAGGCCTCCCACACTCTCAGCTGCTGCCAGGCCTGTTGGGGGGGAGGGGCCTCCTGGCCGGGCCACAGGCTGAGACTTTCTCTCCGTCTTCACGCTCTGAGCAGGCAGGGAGGGGGAGGGGGTGCCAACTGGCACAGGGGCCAGGCTACAGGGCCGCCCTAAGGAAGGTGGGACAAGGTTTCTTCAGCAACAAGGCTGAGACCTAAGGCCATGGTAGTGTTGCAATCGCCCCTCCCTGGTGGGGGGAGGGAGCTGAGGAAGAAAGACATTATTCAATCCTTGGAGAGTTGGGCTGGCTCTGACAAGCACCCCGGCTGGGCCTGTGTCCCGCCCTCTCTGCCAGCGGAGGCTGAGAGATAAACACTGCTCATTTGATACGGGCCAGCCAGGGCCTTGCTGGGAATGGGACCTGCGGTCTGATCCCCCTTTTTCTTTGGGAGACTGGGAAGGGGACAAGGAGGGAGCCCCAAAGGCGATCTAAACGCAGACTCTGAGAGCATCCTGACTCTGTCCTCAAACCTTTGTTCTGGGAGGCCCAAGAGACAGAGAAGGAGCAGTGCAAGGAGCCAGAGGGGAGGCCATTTCAGTTTCCTACAAAGGAAACTTTCTAACCATGGAGGGGCCCCTGAGCTACCGGTTCTGGAGCAGTGTGCTTGGGGGCGGAGTGCCAGCCCACCCCAGCACTGCGAAGGAATTCCTGCTTTGTGGGTGACCTCTCCCTACAAGTGTACTGCTTTTAAGACTCAGTGATTCAAGGAGTTTAAATGTCTATCCGAGATGGTAATGTCCATCTTGCAGGGTCATAGGGTTACCATGATTATCATAATAATAGCATTCAACTAAGTGTCAGGAAGTGAGCTAAGTAAGCATTTTCCAAGCATTGTACAATCTAATTTTAAAAACCAGAATGTTAATGAGATAATTTACTTAAAGAGAAGATAGACAATAAATGTTGGTTCCTTTCTCCTTATTTCAGTCTCTTTTAATTCAGCAAGACTTTGTGGACCCTTTGCTTGTGCTTGCGCTCCTAGTTCCTCTGTATAAAAGCTCAGATCATTCTTTAGATAATGTAGAGTTTTCCTATAGGAGTGATAGCATCCCTTCTGGGTTGTAAAAATCAGCAGATCCCTAAGTGGAGGAGGGTTGCCAGGGATAGGACGAAAGGCAATTCGGAGGGGTGGAGCCAGGAGCGACAAGCCCGGCCTGAAGCCCTGACAACTGGGTGCTAACCGGTGAGAGGATAAGAGGTGAGGGCTGGTGTGTCCTAGAAAGAGCCAAAAAGACCGACTGCCTCTGGGAGGCGAGAGAGGGGTAGAGGTTTCAAGAAAGAGGATTGCAGGAGAGCTATCGCTCGTCATGAAACAAACTATTTCAAACATTTTTAGAAGCGTTCCTCTCCACATTGACAACTGATATGCAGATGACAAAAATAATTGATGTGCAGTCAGACACACAATCATCAGTTGATTGCAATAGTACCGAAGGCTATTTTTAAGGATACTAAAGTCAGCTTTCTGACCTTTCACTGGGCAGCACTTGGTTTTCCCAATTCAGGCACTTTCCATCGCGGCTGCCTGAGATACAGGGACACAGCATAGTACGAAAGCAGGCAAGCTGCTGTCAGTGGCTTTATTCAAAAGGTAGGTCAGAAAGAGAGAGAGAGAGAATGAAGGGGAGCAGCAGAGGACAAGGGAGGACAGAGTAGAGAGATGTAGTAAATTAATAAGCAAAATGGGCGAAAGGAAAAGGAAGTGTGACTGAGTGCAGAAGGGGCATGTAAGGAGCCTGAGTCAAGGGACTTAGGCTGTCATCCCTGCTTGGGGACTGACTTGCTGTGTGACCCTAGAGGTGTAATTTATCCTCTCTGGTCCTCAGATGATTCATCTAATCATCATAACTAACTTTTATACCACCATTGAAATCTGTAAAACACTTTTACTGCCTCACCCCTTAATTGCCCCATGAAAGAAGTGTTAAGGTTCAGAGAGGGGCACCGACACGCCCGAAGTCACACAGCATGGGAGCGGTCCAGCTGCGATGCAAACTCCTATGTTCTTGCCCCTTGACTGGGAGAGCGTGTCCAAGGGATTCCCTTCCGCCTGAATGGGCCAGATGACATCCTTCCTAGAGCCAGAAAGAAGGGGAGATGAGGTAGGTCTTTGAGCTGGAACCCCCTGAGATTGACAAAGCGCTGGTTGGTTTGCCAGGCCCAGACATGTTCTGCCTTTTCCACGGGAAGAGATATTCCCCCGGCGAGAGCTGGCACCCTTACTTGGAGCCACAGGGCCTGATGTACTGCCTGCGCTGCACTTGTTCTGAGGTATGTTCCTCTGGCCACCTGTGTCAGGTATGTCTGGGAAACCTTCAGAGAAGTCACCCTAGAGGGAGGGAGGAAGCCTGACTCGGGAGGTCCGGAGCACTCTGGAATCAGGCTCCCAGGGAGCTTGGGACCACGCCACTTTACTACCGAGTACTCAGTACCTACTACAACTACTGTGCATCCCTCAGAGATAAGTCTCACAGTGGGTCAGCTCTCATCCCAGCCTTCTTTCCACCTCTGCTGGTGCCAGCCTCCCTGCCGCGTGTGTAGCAGAAAAGAGCCCTTCTGACCCGGCCTCCCATTCCTTCCTTCCTTCCCTCGTACTATTTCCTCCAGCCGCCTTGCCACGCTGCCTGAGGAGGCATTCCCCAGTTCCACTGGTCCGAAGGGTTGCTCTTCAAGGCTTTGGCCAAATGCCACCTCCACCAGTAGCCTTACTTGATCCCTCACCTGCAAGTATTTTCTTCTTCTGGGATCCCACATAAGTGTCTCTATCCCTTTCTCTTGATCGCTGTTGGCCAGGTATAATAGTTACCTGTGTCTTTCAGTTACTGCTCCTTAATGGAGCCTCAGAGAGCAGGCTTTCCTGGGCGCTCTCTTATATCCAGTTCAGTGTTCTGCCAAAGGCTGAACAAACTGGGGCCAAGACCATGTCTTTTTGTTTACCTCTTCTCTTTGCCAACCTACCTCCAACACAGCACCCTCCACAGGGCCTTGTACAATCAACAAGAATAAATGAGACCTTCATGTGGTCTCAGGCCAGGTATGAGGCTGGAAGGTAGGGAAGAAGGAAATGACTTGGGAGGCTTGAAGCATCCTTGGTTTAGCTTCGCTGCCAGGGGCCCAGCCTGGTTGACATACCAACATACCGTCCTCACCGATGTGTCTGGAACTGGTGCTCGCGGGGAGGGTGTACCCAGCTCCCAGCTGGAGCCTGTACCTTAGGCCTCCTCTTTTCCTTCAAAAGCCAAGAGAGGAATGCAGAAGGCCAGTAAGAGCCTCCCTTGTTACGACAATCCTCAGCTCGGGTCAGGGGAGCAGAGAAGAGCTACCAAAGGGACATAGGGAGGTAGATGGGGTCTGGGCTAGCCCCTCTCCTGACTCTGATCGCTGGGGTCTCCCTCCTCCTGGGGCCTGTCCCTCCAACTCCCCACTACTTCCGTCATGTTGGCCCCAGGTAGAACTCTTAACGCCAATGGGCACAACCCCCGATGACTGCCTCCCTCTGGTTTTCCTTAGCACATCTGAGGCCAGACAGCTTTTCGAAAAGAACTTTATGAAATACAGCCAAAGAACAGAAAGGAAACCAAAACAGAAAATTCCAGACATATTATGTGGTCCAGTTGACGAAGTCCAAGTTTTGTGATCCACGGAAGCTAATTCATTTCTCTCTCCCCAGAGTTTACATACATAGTTTCCTCAACCCAAAGAGATGTAGCCAATACCCCCAAAATGTACCCTAAATCATTTCTCTCACCATCGCCATTCCCCCTAATCTAAGCCCCCTTTATCTCTCACCTGTACGCCACGCAAGCCTCCCAACAGGCCTCGCTGTCCCTTCTCTAAATCCATCCTTTGCAAGGAGCTAGAAGGATCTTTGCTGAACATAAAACTGATCACGTCATTCCGGGAGCCCCTGAAACCCTCCAATAGCTTTTCCGTGCGCCTGAAGTAAAATTCAAACTCCCTGCTGTGGCTCTGTGTGATCCGACTTCCACCTTACTTCCCAACCCCGTTTCCTACCTGTGCCAACACTTCAAACTCATTCCTACTTGTTCATCCACCTGAATGTTCTTCCCCTGGATCTTCTCACAAATGGTCCTTCTCATCTCACAGATCATCGCGTAAACGTTACCTCCTTATGAGGCTTTCTCTGGCTGTTATTTCTAAAATAGTCCAACCTTGTTAACACAATCACATTATCCTGAGTGATTATGATCTTGTTCCTCCTTGTTTATTTTTTATGATCTGTCTCACCCTGCAAGGATGTAAGCTCCATGAGAGCAGAAGCCGTGTCAGTCTCCCCCGCTGCTCTGTCGCTGGCACTCTGTCCATGCGGTAAATATTGAGTGGATGCGCGAGTCCCCGTCCCATCCACCAGAGACAGCTCACATCACAGAAGGCGCACGGCCCTGGGAGTGGTGCTTAGATACCTGCTGTGCCATCTTAGGCAACTGAGCCTCTCAGAGGCTCTTCTCGCATTTTGAGAGTGTGGGTAATGGCATCTACCTCTAGGGTTCCTGAGAGGAGGAAGTGAGATAACACATTTCTGTACAACATAAAGCCCCTGCCTACTAGTCACTCAACACATGGTCGTTATGACTTTCCTGAGAGGCACCCTTGGGCTGCAGGGTCCCTCCCTCTTTCAGCCCCTCACCTGTCTCCCCCCTCCTTCCTGCTGCATGTCGCTCATCACCTCCAGCCCTTGGATCCTTCAAGGCCAGAATCAAGAGATTCTATCTCTTCAGGACATACAGTTCCTTGCACGCCACCCGACTTTCTCATCTGAGGGCTCAGTTCACCCTCCGGACATTTATTAAGCACCCATGTGTGCCAGGCCTCTAGAAGGCCCCTTTCAGAGCTCAGACTAATGCTGTGGACTCTGATGCCTCTTAGCTGAGATTAATCCTTGGGACGCAGTGACTCCAGAGGGACTAGGGCCTGGTACAGAGTTCTCCACGGGGTAAGAGGCTGCCTCCAGAGAAGTGCTGTCGGGGCACCGAGGTGGGCAAGGATGCTGGAGACAAACTCGCCAACCTCGGAGTCTGAACGAAGGTGGCTCCATTCCACTAAGAGAGAGACCATCTATTTCTCCCCTCCTGGCTCTCGTCCATCTGTTCAAACCGTAGCAGGTACTAGCTTGGAACCAGGCCCTGTGCTGACGATTCAGGGATGAATAGAATGAGACTTGGTCCTTGTTCTTGGGAAGTCATGGTGAAAGATGACACAGATGTACATGGTTCATTATAACAACAGGGGAGAGTCGGGTGCGGGAGGCCTGGGACTGGGAAAGCCGCCCAATGGGGCCGTGGCTCCTCCCTCTCCGGCCCCCACCCCTCTGGGTTATGTTCCTCTGCTCCCTTCTCTTTCATTTGCTGTACTTGAAAAAGCATGAGAACTTTGGGCCCTTCCTTCTCTGGTGCCAACTGCAAGGCCTTTGTGCAGGGTCGCCAGCCTTCCCAGAGATTCAGGGAGTGGACCACGAAGCCCTGAGTCTTCTCCACATCAGGTTTCTAGCCTTGTTCCCATCCCTGTCACCTGTCCTCGTATGTCACATTCCTCTCTTAGCCATGAAGCTTAGGTTCAGAGGTCAAAGAGCGAAGTCCTGGAGTTAAAATAACACAGTCAAGATCAATGCAGAAATAACTCAAGACTTTAACTCGTATGTCTCCAACACCAGGAAAGGGGCACACTGCGCCCTCCTCTGTGGTCAGGGAGGCACAGGGATGGGCAAGCCACATGAGTGAGCGGGAGAAGAGGAGAGACTGGACGCACGGGCTTATTGTTTTAATCCCGTAACAGGCTTAAAATGAGTGCAGTATCTGCAGTTGGGCTGGTGTCTGGGGAGAGGACGGGTTCAGGTGGGAGGCAATGGCTCTTTGGAACCAGGACTGACTCCCGTGTCCCCTTCAGAGTGCCCATGTGAATTGTTACCGCCTCCACTGCCCCCCTGTCCACTGTCCCCAGCCCGTGACCGAGCCACAGCAGTGCTGTCCGCGGTGTGTGGGTAAGTAGCCTCGTTCATCCCCTTGCGCCCGCTGACCCTGCTCTCACCCCCGATGCGGGCCTCTGGCGGAGGGAGGTCCCTGAGATGAGCGGGGCAGCCTCTAGCCTTCAGAGGTGTTGAGGCACAAAGGTGCTCAAGGGAAGAAACATCCTGGATACCCAAGGAGGGCTGGGGTGACAGCAAGTTTCCTGTTCTTAAATAGCCGTGCGTGGCTGGATGGGGGAGAAAATGTGGGGAGTGCCGAGGGAAGTAGGGGCGTGCTTGGCCTAATGATGGCGCTCGGGCTGCAGCCCGTCTCTGTCTCCGGCCGGCCGGCTGGAGCGGAGGGAGTGGGCCTGCCTGTGTAAGTGAGCGGGGCTGGGAGGCCCTGCAGGGAGCCCCAGGATTCCGGCCCTGGGCCTGGGAATGGCCAGAGGAGTCGGAGGACCCGTACTCTGAGATTCCTCCCAGTGCTGAGGATTAGGGACTCTGTGTGTCCTGGTGCTAAAAGTCTATGTCTCCATGATAGTAAGATTCTACAAGCCTCTTAGACTGGGATTCTAGGAAGGAAAGAGAGGAGAAGTAGTGTATGAAGAAATGGGCATAACCAAGGTGGCCAGTGAGAGGCACCGGGCCGGGAGGCCAACTTAGAAGAGTGGGGACAGGAGCTGCTGAGAGGAGGATCTCTCCTTAGAAGCCTCCAGAAGGGGATGAGGGACGCTCCAAATTATGGCTGCAACCTCCAGGCTCTAGAACCAAGGCTCTGCTAGTGAGCTGGTGACCTTTGTGGAGTGGATATAGAGCGGCTCATTTTCCAAGTGGGCCTGCAGCAGGATCTGACCATGGCTCTGCTTGGGTCACAGAGGTTCCTGGCTCAGGATTCGCTCAGGGAGCAGGGGCTCTGAGCTTCATCCAGCCCAGTGAGGGGGCATCATGCGTCTTCCCTGTCTGAGACTGACTCCAGGAGCCCTGGCCACTCCTTCCTGACTGTGCCGCGGCCCAGGCCCCTTCCCCCTCACGTGCTCCTCTCTCTCGCTCCTTTGCCTGCCTGGCTCTGCATGGTCTTCGTGCCTCAGTTCAGAACATCATTCCCTGACCACACCCCACCCCCGTGTCCTGGCTGAGTTAGTGCCCCAGCCCTTACCATTAGACAGTGTCACTGCTTATGGCATGTCTCTGTACCAATTAGATTGTGAATTTCTTGATGGGAGGCTCTGAGTCTTGTTCGGCACTCCATCCCCAATGTGCCTGGCATAGAGAAGGTGTTTAGGAAAGGTGCCTGAGAGGATGAGTAGGTTGTCTCAGGGTGGGAGTCTCGGAGGCTTACCCCTCCCCCTGGCAGGATGGGGACTGGCTAATCAGCAGGTGATGGGGAGGGTGGCTCTGGTGGCCAGTGAACGACAGGAGCTTACTCCAAGCACAGGGACAGTCTAGATCATCTGATTGCACGAGGGTGCCAGTCCACAAGGGACTTTATTCCTTTCACAACTGGGTCACCAGAACCTCGAACAGGTGCATCATAGATGCTCACTGAGTGTGGAATGAACTAACGCAGTTCTCCACTGAGTGGGGCTCAGTGGGGCTGAGGCTTCTGACCTTGTCTCTGGCTCCGGTCAGGACCAGCGTGGATGCTGCGGGGCGGAAAGGCCATGGTAAGCAGCCATGGGAGAGGGTGACAAAGTCAGATGGCAGTGTTAGCAGGACCTCCTGCTTAGCTGATATGGGGACTGTCTGGAAAGATTGAGGTCAGAGCTTAATTTAAATGCCAAGATGGGATAAAATTCAAAACCTTAAGAAAAGGGGCCCCATGGATTCTGACACAGTTCTTAGATCCGCATGAAACCTCATTTTCTCCTTCCCCCTCCTCTCCCCTCCTGCAGAACCTCACACTCCCTCTGGGCTCCGGGCTCCCCCAAAGTCCTGCCAGCACAACGGGACCACGTACCAACATGGAGAGATGTTCAGTGCCCCTGAGCTGTTCCCTTCCCGCCTGCCCAACCAGTGTGTCCTCTGCAGCTGTACCGTAAGAACCTCCTACCTTCCCTTTAACCCAGGCCAGCGGTCTGGGCTTGAAAAGCAAGGTGGTGGAGCTGGGAGGGAGGGAAACTCTTCTCCCTGGTTAGAGCAAAGTGAGAATGAATGAGCTTAGGGGCAAAGGAGTACTGGGGTTTTGGAAGATCTGGCCCTTCTCTGGGCTTCTGCACCCTCCTGAGCTGCCTGTTACAGCACCGGTCACCTTGCACTGACATTTGCCCGTTTGTTTTTGCCCCAGCTGGCTTTGCGCTCCCGGAGGGGAGGGAACACACCCAATTCATTTCTTTATCCTCCACTGCTTCTGGCCCAGGGCCTGGCATACAGAAGATGTCTTTAAGAATTGTTGAATGAATGAATGTATGAATGATCAGTTATCAGTCCTGGGGCACAGAGACAAGGCAGGCTGTAGCAAGTGGAATTTGGTCTGAAGCTGCCTGAACTCCCCATGCTGTGGTCAGAGTTGAGCGTAGGGACAGGCAGGGCTGACTCCGCAGTGTTAGCAACATATAGACACTGACACTGGAGCCAAACAAGGCCTTCTCCGGAGAGCCTTCACCCAGCTCCTTTGGTGGGTGGGGGCGGGGGCCTGAGATGTGGCCCTGCTACAGGTTTGCAGAGGGGTTCAGCATTTCATTCTTACCCTGGGCGGAGCTCCTCGTCTGTGCATTGCCAGGAGGAACTCTGCTCTCCAGGTTGCTTTACTAGCTGATCGCAGACCTTCTCTGGGCCTCAGTTCCTTTGCGTCCACAGGGAGTCTGACCAGGCGATCTCCAATGTCCTCTCTGTTTCAAATCATTAGCAGATTTAGCAGAGATGCAAGGGAAGGAGGTATAGACTAGGAGTGGGGCACCCAGGTTGGAGCCCTGGCTCTGCCTTGAGTGTGACCTTGAGTGAGTCACTTTTCTCAGGCCTGCCTCTCCATGTGGTCCTCAAAGTGTCTGTGCTGCCAAGCAAGCAACTTACAAATGGGAGTGACTACTTATAAGTCAACCGAGAGAGTGATATTCTCACGGGGCCTGAATCTCTTGTCGTGGTCTACTCCATTGTACTACTCGGTTCAGAGAAGTGCTTCATGTTTATATACAGCCTCCCAGCGACCCTAGAAGATGGGTATCAGACGAAGAAATTGAATCTCAGAGCAGTTAAGCAACTTCTTTAAGGTCACACAGCTAGTTAAGTGGCAGAGTCAGAATTCAGACCCAGGGCCACAAAACTCCAAAACCCATGGTCCTTTCCCTGCATCGTGCAGTTCCCTATGAAGGCGCAAGGGCCTGGACTAGGAGGGGGCTGTGGGAAGAGACAGAGATGACAGTGGTGGGGCGGTGAAAGCGTTCTTGTCCCTCCTCCCTGGATACTTGGGCCTCCCCTTCCTTCTTCTCATGCCTGTTTATATGGGTCTGACTTGACTCCTGGCCCTGTCTCAAGGATCAGAATCCTTATTCTTTTTCTTTTTAAGATTTAATTTATTTACTTTTAGAGAGAGGGGAAGGGGGGAGAAAAAGAGGGAAAGAAACACTGATGTGTGAGAGAAACAGCAATCGGTTACCTCTGGCACACCCCCAACTGGGAACCTGGCCTGCAACCCAGGCACGTGCCCTGACTGGGAATTGAACCAGCGGCCTTTAGGTTTATATACCAGTGCTCAATCCACTGCGCCACACTAGCTAGGTCAGAATCCTTATTTTTGAGACTCATTGGAAAAGGAATAGAGAAAGACTTGAGGTAATATCATTTCCTCCCATTTTTACAATGCCTGACATTTTTAAATGGCTTTTCACAACTGTCCCTTCACTTGGTCTTCACAGCCCACATGGGTGTGCCCCCATTTTACAGAGGAAGAAGCTGAGGCCCAGAGAAGAGAAGTGACTCACAGAAGGTCCTCTGGCCTCCTGATTCCCAGAAGGCCGTTTCCCCTGCAGTGTTGCCTCTCCAGGCTGGGTCCTGAAGTTGCAGACCTAGGGTTTTCAGTGAGAGCAAGATGAGCCCAAGGCATCCCCCACCCATAAACCTCCCTTCATGCTGGGTCTTCCTTTCCAGGCTGGGGGAGAAAGACATTGATTTCAGTAGGAAAAGCCTGAGGACTGGGTTCCAGTCCATTCTGCCCGGCTGTGTCCCTGGCTTCAGGCAGTGCAGACCCCTCCACAGGCTCTCCCCATCTGCAGGATGGAAGGGCCCCACCTCACCGATTGGCGATTGGCAGAGAGACCCTGGGGAGAGGCAGGGTGTGAAACGCTTTAGAGGCTGAAGGGTGAATGCTGTGTCAGGGCCCGGAGTGGGAGTGGGGAGGGTACAGCGGACCCCTTTTCTGAACTGGCTGGGCCTTGCGCAGGTCGCTGTGCTGCTCCCTCCCTCCCCAAGACAGGGGGCTCCCCCAACCCCAAGGCTGAGCCTCATCAGATTCGCCTCCCAGCTCCTGTTTGCTCTGTCTGTCAGGAGGGCCAGATCTACTGCGGCCTCATGACCTGCCCGGAACCAGGCTGCCCCGCACCCCTCCCGCTGCCCAGCTCCTGCTGCCAGGCCTGCAAAAGTGAGTCTGTCCCTAGATCTGGCAGTGCCCACCCATCCCACCCCAGAGACCCAGCCACGGACTGTTAAAGCAGGGGGGACTTCAAGGGACACTCAGCAGGTAGTAGGCCATTCCTTTCTCAAGGGTAGGGGCTTAGCCCGGCCCTCCCGGAAAGCTGAGCCCGCGGCAGAGGATGGTGTACATTTTTTTATTGCAATCCTAGGGTGCAGGAAGGAGGGAAAGGGGGAATAAGTCAGGGGAGGAGGGAGGAACAATTTTAAGAATGCATTGGGGAGCTGCCTCTGCTTGATATCAAGTATGACCTATTGCTCAAAGTCATCCTCTGCTTTTCAGGAAAGTCTGGGGTTAATAGAAGAAGAGTAAGAATTTGTCCCCCAGCCAATAATTTACATTGGTTCAAGATTCACCCCGTGGTGAAGTCCCTCGTGCACCCTTTTTATGAGTGCACATGTGGGTGCTAGGCTGCCCGGGGAGCAGGAGGCAGGAACGGAGTTGGGGGTGGCAGACACGGACAGGAGGCACGGACATGAGGGTACCGCTGGCAGACTGAGCCTGAGCTAAGTCGGCCACAGCCCTTGGGGGTGGGGGAGGAGGTGGGCGCTGCTGCAGTCCCTGCAATCAGGTGAGGCGGAGAGGATCAGAAGAGGCACAGAAGAGAGATCTGTGCAGACAGGGATCACATATCTTCCTCTCATCCTCATGGCAGAGCTGGGCATGGATCTGGGCTCATTGGGGCTCAGAGCACATGTGTCAAGCAGAATCCAGAGAGAAGTTCTGTAAAGGACAGAGACATAGGCTAACACATCAGCTAGTGAAGGGCAACCGGCTTCAGCAGACTGAAGTACACAGACGGCTGGACGGTTCCCTGCGTGCTGGGGTAGTCTAAGAAAACTTCTTGGAAGCGGCAGGACTAGGGGAGGAGAGGGAACCACAGTAGCATGTGTCCCTGGATGTTGGTACTGTGGAAAGGCACTGGACCAGGAGCCAGATGCCTCCAGTGTAGTCCTGGTTCTTCCAGGGATTTCCTGCAGATTCCTTCTCTTCTCTGGGCCTCAGCTAGGCCATGTATGCACTGAGCCATTGGCCTCAGTGGTTTCTAATGGACCGTCTAATTCCAGTGTCCTTGGTTTTTGAACCAAGAATGCTTGGAGGGTACCAGACTGTATGTGATGCACGGGCATGGAAGAGAGAAGCCCACTCGGGCTTCAGGAAGTCCCAGGGCTCCAAAGGGCCTTGTGCCCTAGGAGGTGGGAGATGGCAGGATCCTAGGGTGTCCCAGCTGGAGGGGCAGAGGGGCTGGAGGGAGCTGCCCAGGAGTGTAATGTGGAGACCAAGGTCTGGTGACTTCAAGTGTGGCTGGATAGAGTGGCTTCCCAGGGAACTGCAACCAAGCAGGCTGCAGGGATGGGATCCTGGGCCATCCGTGATGGGCACTGAACAAGATGCTCGGGCCCAGCCAAGCAGCTCAGTCCTCATGGTGACCAGGAGGTCAGTGTGTGGAAACTGAGGCAGCAACCCAGATGTAGCAACTTCGTCAACCCAAGGGTGAGGAGAGGCTATAATGAAAAGTAGGACTAAGTCCCCACTGGGACAAAGGGACCTGCTCGTGCTCGAGGGCTGCAGAGGAGCTCTTGGCCTTGGAGGGGCAGAACCTAGAGGTGGAGGCCTGACGGCTCCAGCCAGCAAGGCTGAGGAGGTAGAGGCTGACCCGCCTTCCCTTTGCATTTCCAGATGGGTCAAGTGAGAAATCAGCTGAAGAGAACACCACGCAGTCACACCGTGGGGTGGTGAGTGCACAGCCTTTCCTGCCTGGGCGGGGAGAGGGGGTGAGGTGGGCTGGTATCCAGGGCCTAAGTCTCCATGACTCTGGAGCAAGCAAGAGTAGTTATTGTCCTCACTTCTCATTTGTCCCCTGGCTCCATTAGCGAGGGGACACCATGTCCAGCCCCTGTCCCTAGCCTCCCATCATGGCTTCTTTGGGGACTGATGGTCCAGGAGGGGCCAAGGAAAAAGCACCAAATGAGTAGGAGCAGGCCCTAAACTTGCCGAATTCCCTCATGGGAAACTCTTTGACACTGCTCCATCCACAGCTTGTGTCTGTCCTTATTCAGGCCACCCCGGAGCAGCATAATCCCCGGAAGGGAGTGACCCTGATTTGGGTCAGGCTTCCCCACCCAGCTCTAGAGGTGCTGGTTCTTCGTCTGGGGGCTACCTCTCTGTCTCCCGCCCCCACCTTGGCCCCTTTCGGTCTTTAAGTCTAGAGTTAATGTAAGCGGAACTGCCCAGCTCTCTCCGGTTGGAGAGGAAAGAAGAGGGAGAATAGGTTCACATACTGACTCGAGTCTGTGCTGTCTGCAATGTGAACAGCTCACCCGCTCTTCCAGCCTGGGTCACCTGGACCCTGGGCGGCTGGAGGCTGGGCTCCCTCCCCTTACCTGAGACTCCCCAAGGGTCTGAACCAATGAGCTCCCCTTCTCCTCTGCCAGCTCACCCCCCTCCCAGCGGGGCCTTCTCGGGTGGTGGTGGCCTCCGTGTGGCAGGACCTGAGCCAGGCCATCCCCTTTCCTTCGCATCCTCCCCTCAGGAGGCAGTGTGCTGAGCAAAACCCACCAGGCTTAGTTCCAGGCCCTGAGCAACTACTTGCTGAATGATGTGGGCAAGTCACCATTTGGGGGTTGGGCTCTTCAATTCCTTCTTGCTTCTATTGCACTTGAGAAGCATTTTCTAGGGGCTTTCTCGGTGCCTGGGCATATGCTGGGGCCTGAGACACGGTTTCTGCTTTGGGAGCTCTTATGGGTTCAGTCCAGCGGTGAAAGGACTGCGCCTGTGTGGGGCAGGACGGGGCTGTAGAAGAAGAAACGTGAGTGATGGGGGCAGTGAGGTAGGTTAAAGTTCTGTCGCCTGCTCCCAGACCACTTGTTCCTCTCCCACAGCCTAGGGCTGCGAAGCCCCTGCCCCGCTGCGCGGCCCTCACCGCACACCTTTGGCTGGCTGTCGCTGCCAGCCCGCCCAACCGGCCTGGAGGGGCAGGGTCTTAGGAGCTGGGATTCCAGGGGCTCAGGAAAGGCGGCCTGAGCCCTGGAGAGCCACTGTCTCGGAATGGAGCCAGCTCATCATCCTGTCCCATGGGATTCTGGTGGGACCTTCAGATGCCTGTCTCCTTGTCCCATCACCTCAATCTTCTCAAAGGAGAATTTCTTGACCTTCATCCTCACTACAGTCTCACATTCTATTTCTTAAATATTACGTTCTCCAGGTCCCTAATCACTTATGTCACCCAAATAAAGCCCTCATGCCCTCTGGCCACCCAGCCCCAAGGCACTGGCTCTCACAGGCCTAAGAAGGGCTGGGTGGAGGCTGGGTTTCCAAAGTGCTATCGTCCGAGTTTTCGAAGATCTGTTGTTTGAGAACATCTTAGACCCCAGCCAGGTCTCACTTCTGTCCCTAGCCTGTGCCCTCTTTTCGCTGGGAAGTCATGCTGGGGCCTGCCCTCAGGCCGCTCACTGCAGCCTGTCTGGCCCCTGCTTCCCGGCAGTGGCCCATCTGTGACCCTCGTCCCTCTGCGCTTTGCAGAGGCATTCCCAGGATCCCTGTTCGGGGGACGTTGGGAGGAAGAGAGGCCTGGGCACCCCGGCCCCCACTGGGCTCAGCCCTCCTCTGGGCTTCATCCCCCGCCACTTCCGACCGAAGGGGGCAGGCGGCACGACAGTCAAGATCGTCCTGAAGGAGAAACATAAGAAAGGTGGGGACCGGAACCTCCTTCAACCCCTGAGGTGGGAGGGGGGACCCCAACTGCTCCTACCTCCCATTCCTGTACCTTCGACTCAGTGATTCTCCCATCTCGATTTGGCTGTGAGCTTATAGGCACCCTTAAAGGGCATAAGGTCTAATCCCGCTTTGACAGACGAGGACGCTGAGGCTCAGAGTCCTGAGTGAGAGAGAGAGAGAACCAGAGATGGAACTGGGGCTGTGGGTCAGCACAGCCACGAGCCTCTGCCATGTCTTTGCTGGGAATTGAGGAACACAGAACAGAATGATGAAAAAGCAGTCGCTGTCCTTGAGGGGTTCCAGGCATGTGAATAAATTACTACAACCTAAGGAAGTGCCGAGGGAAAGTTTTTGACAAAGGACTAAGCAAGCGGTCCTGGGCTGCAGGAGGACAGTTGGGATGGAGCGGGGAAGGAGGCCACACCAGCAGCCATGGGGTTGATGTCAGATCTCTCGCTGCGAGGCCATCCCCATCCTTGCTCCACCAGAGGGGCCCGGGAGGGCGGGCGGGAGGAGGACTGTCCGTCTTCAGCGAGTCCTTACTGGACGCATCTCAGCCCTGAGTGCTGAGAGGGGGGATGTCAGGGACGTGGGATCGGTTTTATGCCCTGGCTTCCACCTGGCGGGCAGTGTGGCAGGGCCAGACTATGGAGCAGGGACTGCCCAAGGCCCCTCCCCCACCTATTACTTGACTCTGGCCAGAGTCCCAGGCCCTGACCCTCCTCCCTTTCTGCGCTCCTTGGCTCAGCCTGCGTGCACGGCGGGAAGACATACTCCCATGGGGAGGTGTGGCACCCAGCCTTTCGCTCCTTTGGACCCCTGCCCTGCATCCTGTGCACCTGTCAGGACGGCCGCCAGGACTGCCAGCGGGTGACTTGCCCCACCGAGTACCCCTGCCATCACCCCGAGAAGGTGGCCGGAAAATGCTGCAAGATTTGCCCAGGTACAAAGAGATGCTAGGGGTGGGGAGGTGCTAGGCAGAGTGAGTGTTGGGGTTCCCTCCCCGGGGCACAGACACTTGACACATCTCTGACAGGGATGGGGAATGGACTCACAGCCACAGAACGCAGGGGCTTTAGATGCACAGAGCGTCAAAAGCACAACTGTGGAAAGTGCCAGCCTTGTAATATATTACTGTGGAACCATCTAGTGTTACAGAAAGAGATTCAGAGGCTCTCAGACATATATTCGTAGAATCAAATAGTGTTCTGGATTCTATGAAATCTTATGATATCAGGACTTTTAAGAGAAATGGCCAATGTTTATTGAGCACTTACTATGTACCAGGTAGGAATTTTGCATGCATGAGTTCAAGTAATCCTCACCACAATGGACAAGGAAGGTATCTATCTCTGTTCTAATAAACAAGAAGATAAATATTTTGTTCCAGGTCACCCAACTAATTGTAAGTGACAGAGCTGGAATTTGAACCCTTGTCTGCCTGACTCCAAAGACCATACTCTTTACTCTCTGTTATCTTCCTTCAACCCTCATCTACATATGGGAAAACTGAGACCCAGAGAAGAGAAGGCACTTTCCTAAGTCACACAGCAAAGTGTAGAGGAGCTGGAACTAGAACTCAGGCTTCCAGACTCACTGGCTGAGTTCTTTCAAAAATGTCACGCGGCCCTAGGATTAGTCAGTATGCCGAAAGGGAAGTGCAGGTATCTCATTGAGAAGAGCAGCCTGTGAGTGTCAACAGCAGTGGATGTGAGGGGCAGATTAGAAAGAAGGTAGGCAGGGAAGAAGGTGCAAGGTGAGGTTGTGCCCTGACCACATCTCGTTCGAGATGGAAAAGCTGAAGGGAGAGGAATGGGGAAGAACGAGGAAGGAAACATGCATTGAGAATCTACTAGTGCCAGGCGATTTCACATATTTCATTTATTTCTCACAACTCACTTATTTAACAAATAATATAACTGAGTGGCTGAAATTACCCTGAGTCTCTGCCTAACCCAGAATTGAACATTAGGAAATTCGAGTTTGCATTTGCTTGCTTACTGATGTATTTATTTACCTAACTTACTGTCATGAGCCTAGACAAGTTACTTTACCTTCCTGAGTTTCAAAAACAGAGTTGATAAAAATGCTTTATGAATTATACATCAAAATCAAAACATAAGAAATAATTGTTATTTGTCAGAGTAATATGCCATTGGGACAGGGTCAGGGAGGGAGCATGACAAGGTCGTGACAGGGCGGGGGTGGGGGAGCATTTGGGGAGGGCCCGCCTTGAATTCACTCCGAGCCTGGCTGAGGCTCACTCCTGAGCTGCTTCACAAACATACCGGGTCTTGGGCTCCACCACCAGCGCCTAGTCCATGTCCTCAGAAAAACACTGAGACTGCAACTGAGGCTCTTAGCTGGACACCTCTAAGGCTTCCTGACTAGCAAGAGTTTAGAAGGGGGTGTATGTATAGGGGTTTAGTCCTTCAGTCCCTGAAAACTAGTCAGGGAATGTCCTTGGAATTCCAGCATGGCAAAGCTTTAAGACTATATCTAATTTGGCACCAAAAACACATTGCCACCCCTCCCCCACCTCACCACCCCCCTCCAGCCGCCATCATTGTCATCACCGCCACTCCCTCTTCCAGCGCCAGGGCCGCTGTTGCCAGTACTGCCATCGCTGCCTCCAGCCCTCACAAACCTTCCCTTGTGCGCATGTTCACTGAGAGCCTGTGCTTGCTGTGAGTGAGTGACTCGGTGGACATGGTTCCTGCTCTTCACTTTGTGGGTCTCTTTTTAAGAGGAAACACACCCAAGTAAAACAGTGACAAGGCAATGCAAGGCAGTGTGCGAGTAAGGGCATGAGTGGGAGTCATAAGCAAGAAGGGCTTTAAAAGCCCTGAGTGGGAGGAAGCAGTGGGCTGGCTGGAGGAGGTGGAAGGTGTGCAGGGCCCTGAAGGGTGGGAAGTTTTCTGATGTGCTAACCAATGGGGGTGAACGGGGGAGATGTTCCCTCTCTCTTCCCCAGAGACCTCCTTCTCTTCCCAGGGCACCAGAAGTTTCCCAAGGACCGTAGAGACCCTGAGGGGGATGTCAAACCAGTGGCCCCTCTTTTTGAGCCTACAGGGGTGGGGAGACAGAGCATTCACAAGCTCCTTGTCTCTCCCAGAGGACAAGGCAGACCCTGGCCACAGTGAGATCAGTGCCACCCGGTGTCCGAAGGCGCCGGGCCGGGTCCTCGTGCACATGTCAGTATCCCCACGTCCAGACAACCTGCGTCGCTTTGCCCTTGAGCGTGAGGCCTCTGAGCAGGTGGACATCTACCTCTGGAAGCTGGTAAAAGGTGAGCATCGGCATACCCCCAGCGAGGCATTCCTCTGACCTGTCCCCCTTCCTGAGCCCCAGGCCCCTTGGGGGCCTGTCGATCAAGTGCCCAGGAAGACCTGCCTCTGGCCACCCTTTCAGAGAGTCCCTGATTCCAAGAGAGAGGAAGACACTGATTCTGTCTGATCCTCTGACAGCTCTGATAACCTCACCTACTCTGAGATGCCAGGGCCTCGAAGTGCTCCCTCTCCTGGAGGGAAGGGGTTGTTGCACCTTGCGAGGAGTCAGGACAGGGTAATGCCTACCCTGAAGAAATATAAAGAAATGTCTATTGGTAGAATTGCAGCATTTTGTGAGGGGAGGTCTTTTGAAGCAGGAGGGCCCTCACGGCATCCTCAGAGGAGGAGGGCCTTGAGGCTAGCTTCATTTAGCCTCTTCTAGATGGTAGAGTCTATCTTTTCAAGGTAAGTAAAAATCAGAATATATTTCTCATTCTGTGAGAAACTTACCCTATTCATCAGGCTACTTGTGTCACCAAATGAAGGTCAACAGATTTCATTGATAAGGAAATGGCTGAGAGTTCTGTTTTCTGGCTCTCTTGAGAAACATAAATCCCGTCGGTAGAGTAAAACCAACTAAACCCTTTCACTGTAAATCAGTTCAAAGGTCACTTTTCTCTACTGATGGGTTTGGCTGGGGGTGGGGGTGGCGAAAGAGGGGACAAAACAATAAGGGGAAAATAAAGGGATAATAAGAATAATGACGATGATAAAAACCAATGCGTGAAACACTTTAGAATTTACAAAGTGTTTTCACATTCATTAACTCGTTTGATACTCAGCGATCCTGAGAGTTAGGTATTATTATCCCCGTTTTACAGATGAGGAAACTGAGGCTCAGAGAGGTGAAGTACCTGGCTCAAGGCCACACAGCCAGTAAGTGGAGGAACTAGAGCCCATGTCTTGTGACGTCAGATGCGGCTCTTTCCCTGCTCTACTCTGCCCCCTGACGTAGGAGGAATGGACGAAGAAAGCGGAGCTGTTCAGCCTGGAGAAGAGGACTCAGGGGGACAGGACCACTGGCTTCATGGCTCTGACGGACTGCTCCAGGCAGAGCGGGCAGCTGTGTTCTGACTGGCCGCAAGGGTCAACAAGCAGGGGCTTTAGAATCAGGCCTGGGTTTAAATCCCGGCCCTGCCATTTCTTAGCTGTGTGGCCTTGGGCAATCACTTGACCTCTCTGGGCCTCAGTTTTCTCTTCTGTAAATTGGGGAGGAGGGTTTTTGGAGGACTAAATGACATAACATAGGCACAGCCCCTGACCTGTAGTAGGTGTTAACAATGTCACTATCCTTCTCATCCCCCGTCATTAACTCGGTTAGAAATGGCGGTGAAGCAGGTTTCAGCCAATGAGAGGAAGCACTTCCTCATACTTGGAGCCTTCCTGTAATGAAGGGAGGGAGCAAGCTCCATTCACAGGAGCATGCTGATGATGGCTGGGTGGGGGTTCTTCCAGAAGCTGGGGAGTAACCCTTATAATCCTTTTGTATCTTGAGATTCCATCAGTCCCTGGACAGGTTCTGGCTGCATGTTTACTCTGGGACCCCACCCCCACCCCCACACAGTGCTGGGACCACAGAGAGTAGTCTTTCGGTGACCTGGGTGCAGCAAGAGCGCACTTCATGGAAGTGAGTGGGCCTGGGGCTGTGCAGGGTTTAGAAAGGCACGAGGGGCACACTGCAGGCAGGGTGGCGGCGGCAGCCTCAAGCTCTGGCCCTAGAGCCCACGCTCCTATGCCTTGTGCTGTGCGATTGGTGTGCAGCAGGCACTGGGTGTAATGTGCTTCATTTCATCCGTATGAGGAACCCAAGGGTTATGTATCAATGCCCCATTTTGCAGATAAGAAAACTGAGTCTGAGAGGTAAAATGACTTGCTCAAAGTCACACAGTTGAAGCAGTAAAGACTCAAACCCAGTTCTGACTGTCCCTAGTGCTGCTTCCACAGAGGTGAACTGATGCTTTCAGGGAGGTGCCTGAGGAAGGTCGGGCTGTGCCCGGAGTGGTGCAGAGGCCAGTCTCATTACCACCAGGCTGGGCGGGAAAGAAACGAAGTGGGGCAGTGTGGAGGCGTTTCAACTCCACAATGCCAGGCCTGCCCTCCCGTCCCTCCTCCCATCTCCCACCCGCCAGGGTGGCCTAATTGCCCATCCACTTCCCATGCCTCCCTGTCCCTGAGCATGGGAATCAAACACTCCTGGGGTGTGATTGTCAGCGGGAACCCTGCACTGTTCTCTCCCACAGAAGAATGGAAACTGCAGGCCTTGGAGGCTGAGGGGTGGGTGGTGGAAGATTGGCCCGGAGGCAAAGCGAGCAGGTGGATGTTGCAACCTGGGCTAAGTGAGGCCGCACCACGGCGGGGGAGGCCCAGGCTCCAGAGGCTGAACGGAGTGTTGGCTTAGGGCTGAGGGCCTTTTAGGTTCTGGCATTCCAGGGTAAAAGGGGCCTCAGGGATCTCCATTCCTACCCCTATCTAGGAAGGAGGCCCCCCTGCGGCCTCATCAATGTCTCTAGTGCCCATATGCACCCATCCACCTCCAGACAGGTGATTAACTTCCAACACTGTGGATGGCTCTGCGCAGGGAGATGGCTGTGCACTGAGCTGAGTGAGCCTGTCCTATTTCCTGGGACTCACTTACCAGTGCCACCTCTGCCCTGAGGGTCCGCAGAGCCCCGCTGCCCTCAGTCCTGGCATGCCCTTCACGGAGCAAAAGGTACAACCATGGCGCTCAGTCCAGCTCTCGATTCCAGGCCCGAGAGCCAGTCCTTTCAATCATGCGCCACGGGCTAGAGTGCGGGGAGCCACCTGCACCCGTTACCTCCTCTCCAATGTGTGTTTGGGGGGTGTGCAGTGGCAGGCCTGGAGCAGGAGGGCCCGTCCCATCTCATGCTCGGGATACAGCCTGGGCCTTCGGGGTGAGCCTCTCCCTCATCCTGGCCCTTGGCATCTGGGCTGGGGATCCCAAGGACATCTCTGGCCTCCTGGACCTTAATCTCAGCATCTGAGCTGTCCATTGCCCTTGGTGGGCTCCTACTCAGATTCCCATAAGCAAAGCCAGTTCTTGGTTTCCTTGAGGGCGGTGCTGGCCGAGCAGAGGCCTCGCTGTCACATCTGTTCTTTCTGGCCACAGACCCTGGTGGTAACAGCTGGTGCGACCTCACAGCCCATGTGTGCAAGGCCAGCACCATGTGTGGTGGTGCCAGTGGCCAGCTCCCCATGGAATGCGAACACAGGAGATCCAGAATAATACCTCATTCCCCTTCAGGGCCCGGCCTAGACTGGGTACACATGGATTTACTTATCCAGCCAGCCAGGGATTCATTCATGCATTCATTCATTCTACGTGCCTAATATGGACCAGGCTCGGGACCCAGAGAGGAAAGCCCTCCTGGTAGGGGAGTCCCCAGTCTGGTAGGGGAGACAAGAATACATGTAACGATAACACATTAGAAATAGATACAATCACCAACAGAAGCCAAGAGCTGTGGGTAATTATAACTTCCTCCTTGGATCCCAAGAAAGGAAGTTATACCTACCAGGTAGGGAGGCTGGAGGGGGGAGCAAAGGAAGACTTCCCAGCTAAGGTTTGAAGGATGAGTAAGAGTTTACCTGGCGGCAACAGGAGGAGTTCCAAAGATGCCGGGGCATGTGTAAAGGCTTGGCCGCTCAGGGGCCTCCAAGTAGTTGGCTAGGGCTGGAGCACAGGCCAGGCCACTCAGGGGGTTGATGAACTGCTGAAAGGGGACTACTACCCTGATGCTTGTTAGTGTTTTGGTGTCTGAAAAAGCACACCTATTGATTTTTATCATACATTGTATGCTCAGAAAAAAGCTTGACTAGTTCGTACATGCCTGGCAGCTCCCCCCTCCCTTCAACCCTCCTGTGTTGTGGACAGGTGAGTGGGGTAAGAGCAGGATGGTGACGGACAGGAGCAGGACCAGCAGCGGTGACGGGAGGTCTGGGACGGGGAATGACAGGGAAATCTGTATATTTTCGAATGACAGCAGTTAGGATCATAGGTTGGGGGGGGATTAAAAAGTTGTCAGGGTGCAGTGACTCCGGCAAGGCATGATGGGGCCTGAATGGGGAGAGTGGCTGAGGGGGCAGGAGGATAGATTCCAAATATTTAGGAAATTAAATCCACAGGATTCGGTGTCTGATCAGAAGAGGGGAGGGGAGGGAGGTGACAGGGTCCATCCCAAGTCTAAGCCACCCTATTTCCCTGATCCATGGCCCGGCCTTTTCTGCTCATACCCTTGTCTCTGCCCTCAGGAATCTTCCACTTGATTCAGATCAAGAAAGTCAGGAAGCAAGACTTCCAGAAAGAGGCCCAGAACTTCCGGCTGCTCACCGGCACCCACGAAGGTGGGACCTGGGGCTGAGCTGGGGCCTGGGAAGAGAGCCTGGCGAGAGGCCAGGGCCTCGGGGGGAGTTTCAGGCCGCCGGTGCTGGGAGCGGGGCTGTGCGCCACTGACGGCAGTTCCCGGCACAGGAATCCAGTGGGCGTCTGCGCCAGAGATTTCTCAACCCCAATGCTTGAGAGCCGGAGGATAAAGCAGAGCCTGCTGGATTTTGTCTTGGGATGGGGGACACCGGGCTGTAGAGGAGGGAGGTCTGAGCCCCAAACCCTTGTGCTGCCACTTCCCTCTCCACTGGAACATTTGCCGGTGGAACTCTCTTAATGACTTCCTTCTGATGTCTTTAATTTGCTCTGCACCGCATGGAGTTAGATTGGACCCAGGTGGGGCTTCAGGTCGGGGAGAAGTCACAGATGGGAGTGTTACCAACAGGTGTCAGGAAACCAGCCTGGTCCCCAGTTGTTTGTTGGTTGAGGGTGGGGTCAGGTGCCAGAACTGACCTAGATATGGGGGTGTAATGGGGATACCACCTCCCTCCTCTCTCTGGGCTCCAAACCCAGGTCCATGCAGTCCTGCTTGCCCCGTTCTCCCTACACCAGTCATTCTGCCTCTGTTGTACCAATATGCACACACACCTACCCCCCACCGCTCTTCTGCTTTCTTTCATGCAGGTCACTGGAACGTCTTCCTAGCCCAGACCCCGGAGCTGAAGGTCATGGCCAGTCCAGACAAAGGGACCAAGACCTTATAACAAAGACCTAAACTGTTGCAGATATGAGCTTTATCATTTTTGATGTTATATATTAATAAATAAGTTGCATTACCCCTCAATTCTGCCTGCTGAGTTCATATCCAGTCTCCTCATGTTCTCATAGCGACTGCAAGGCAGGCCTGGTTATCCCATTGTATAGGGCTGGGCACGGAGGTGCAGAAGGGTCAGAGACTGGCCACTGGCCTCAAAGTGAGCTGTTATGGGAGCCGGGGCCAGTTCCCCAGCCTTCCCACCCGGGCCCTCGTCTGCCACTGTGGCCTCCCCCCTGTTCTGTACTGCCTCTCTCCACAGCCCACAGGTCGGGTGCCTACCGCTTTTATGGGCGGCCCCCTCCCATTGAGCCTCAGAAGGGGGACTGACTCTAGCTAGCCAGCCGAGGGAGCGAAGGGAGCCTCAAAGCACCTTCCCAGCAAATATTCCAGGGATTCTTACAACTGTGAGCCACACTTTACAATGAGGAAGCTGAGTTAGGAGGGAGCAGCAATTTGTCTGAATTCACCAAGCAAGTCAGTGGCACATTCAGAAGTGGATGCCAGGTCTCTTGCTCCAGGCTAGTGCTCCTCCCCCATTCTACTGCGACCAGTGTTCTCAGCCCAAATATTCTCACCTCAGAAGATTTCTAACACTTGGCAGTCAGGTTGCCAACCCTGGCAGCATGGTCTGAGAAGACCTAACAGTTACAATTAAAGACAACATCAATAATTTATCCTGCCCAGGTGTACAATTCCTTGCAATTTTAAAGATGTTTTAATGCTCATGGTTCCACTTACAGTGAACAGTGTAAGAATTACACCATTTTATTTTTAAAAATTAATTAACTTTTATTTCATATTCCACCCCTTCTCCTTTGGCAACCATCACTTTGTTCTCCACATCTATGGTTTTGTTTTGTTTTGTTTATTCATTTATTTTGGGGTTTTTTTTACATTCCACATATAAGTGAAATCATATGTTATTTCTCTTTCTCTGTCTGACTTACGTCACTTAGCATAATACCCTCTAGGTCCATCCATGTTGTCACAAATGGCAAAATTTCCTTTTTTTTTCCCCTGAATAATCTCCATTGCATACAGGTATCATATCTTCTTTATTCATTTATCTGTCGATGGACACTTCCATACCTTAGCTGTTGCTAGTAAAACTACATTGAACATAGGGGTGCGTATGTCTTTTCAAATTAGTATTTTTGTTTTCTTTGGATAAATACCCAGAACTGAAATTGTTGGATTGTATGGCAGCTCTTTTTTTAATTGTTTGAGGGATATCTATACTGTTTGCTGTAGTAGCTGCACTAATTTACAATCCCACCAACAGTGTATGAGAGTTCCCTTTTCTCCACATCCTCGCCAATACTTACTTGTTGATTTATTGGTGATGGCCATTCTGACACCTGTGAGGTGATATCTCGTTGTGGTTTGAATTTGCATTTCCCTGGTGATTAGTGATTTTGAGCATTTTTTCATATATCTGTTGGCATCTCTGTATGTCCTCTTTGGAGAAATGTCTGTTTAGGTCCTTTGCCCATTTTTAAATTGAATTGTTCGAGGGCTTTTTGGTGTTAAGTTGTGTGTTTCTTATATATTTTGGATATTAACCCCTTATCAGATGTATTATTTGCAAATATCTTCTCCTATTCAGTAGGTTGTCTTTTTATTTTGTTGATGGTTTCTTTGCTGTACAGAAAGATTCTAGTTTGATGTAGAGTCATATATTTTTTCTGCTTCTCTTGCCCAAGAAGACATATCCAAAAACGTATTGTTAAGAGCAATCTCAAAGAGTTTACTGCCCTGGCCAGTGTGGCTCAGTTGGTTGGAACGTCATCTCATACACCCAAATGTTGCAGGTTCAATCCCAGGTCAGGGCACATAGCTAGATTGCGTGTTTGATCTCTTGTTTGGATGCATATGGGAGGCAACCAATCAATGTTCCTCTGTCACAAAAAAACATATGTTTTTAAAAAGAGTTTCCTGTCTATGTTTTCTTGTGGGAGTCTTATGGTTCCAGATTTTACATTTAAGTCTTTAATTCATTTTGAGTATTTTTCTATTTTGTGTAAGAAATTGGTCCAATTTAACTTTTTTTTACTTGAATCTGTCCAGTTTTCCCAACATCACTTATTTAGGAGACTGCCTTTACTCCACTGTATATCCTTGCCTCTTTTGCCATAGATTAATTGACCATATAAGCAAAGATTTATTTCTGGGCTCTCTATTCTATTCCATTTATCTATATAGCTGCTTTTATGTGAGTACTATACTGTTTTGATTATTGTGGTTTTGTAGTTTAGTTTGATATCAGTGACCATGATACCTCCATTTTGTTCTTTCTCACGGTTTCTTTGGCTATTCTGGGTCTTTTGTGGCTCTATATAAATTTTAGGATTAAATGTTCTAATTCTGAGAAGAATGCTATTGGTATTTTAATAGAGATTGCATTGAATTGTATATTGCTTTTATAAAGACATTTTAACAATATTAATCTTTCCAATTCATGAGCATGACATATCCTTCCATTTATTTCTATACTCTTCAATTTCTTATAATTTTCAGAGTACATATGGGTCTTACATCTCTTTGGTTAAATTTATTCCTAGATTATTTTATGCTTTTTGATGCAATTGTAAATTGTTTTTTTACATTTCTCCTTCTGGTAGTTTGTTATTGGCATATAGAAACACAACAGTATTGCTACCCCAGCTTTCTCTTTGTTTCTATTTGCATGGAATATGTTTTCCTATTCCTTCACTTGAGTCTGTATGTGTCAGCTTTTAATCCTTTTACATTTAAAGTGATTATTGATAACTATGTTATTATTGCCATTTTATTAATTGTTGGTTGCTTTTGTTGTTCCCCTGTGTTTCTTTCTTCTTCCCTTGATCTCTTGTGGTTTTCTGTATTTTGTTTTGTTTTGTTTTTAGTGTTTTGTTTGGGTTCCTTCCTCTTCGTTCTTTGTATATCTTTTTTAGGTTTTTTGTTGACAGTTACCATGAGGTTTATACATATTATTCTATATCTATAGCGGTCTATTTTAAGCTGATAGGCATTTAAGTTTTCATATATTCTATAAGAACCATGTTTTTCCTCCCTCCGCCACATTTTATGTTTTTGTTGTCATGTTTTAGATCTTTTTGTGTTGTATATCTCCTAACTACTTAATACAATTTGAATTGATTTTGATACTTTTTTCTTTTGATCTTCATAGTAGCTTTTTAAATGTATGATTCACTGTATTAAATATTTGGCTTCACTTGTGAGACTTTTACTTTTCCTCTATTTGCTTATTTCTAGTTATGGCCTTTACTTTTTTGTTTAAAGGAGACCCTTTAACATTTCATCTAAAGCTGGTTTAATGGTGATGGACTCCTTTAGTTTTAGTTTGCCTGGGAAATTCTATCTCTTCCTCAATTCTGAATACTAATCTGGCTGGATAAATTATTCTAGATTGTAGGTTCCTTTCTTTCAGCACTTTAAAGATGTCCTGCTACTCTCTTCTGGCCTGTAAAGTTTCTGCTGAGAAATCAGCTGAAAGTGTTATGGTGTTTCCTTTGTACATAATTTGATGGTTTCCTCTTGCTTCCTTCAAGATCATCTCTTTATATTTAACTTTTGCCATTTAATTTACAGTATGATTTGGTGTGGGCCTCTTTGGATTCTTCCTCTTTGGAACTCTCTCTGCTCTCTGGACCTAGATGTCTGTTTTTTTTCCCAAGGTTAGGAAAGTTTTCAGCTGTTAAAGTTTCTGTTTCTTTCTCTATTTCTTTTTGGGATCCCTATAATGTGAATGTTTGAGCTTATCATGTTATCCCAGAGGTCACTGTTTTTTTTTTTTAATTCTATTTTCTTTTTGCTGTTCTGATTGGTTGATTTCCACTAGTCTGTTCTCCTGGTCACTGATCCATTCTTCTATGTTAGCTGATCTGCTGTTGATTGCTACTAATGTGTTTTGCATTTTAGTTATTGTATTCTTCAGGTCTGCTTGTTTTTTTATTATACTTTATAACATTTTGTGGAAGTTCTCCGTAAGTTCCTCTACTCCACTATAAAGTTTGGTGAGCATCCTTATGACTTTCTTTGAATTTTTTAATCGGCAAATTACCTTTACCTTTTCTCTATTTTCTTATTTCCTTAAGGGCTTTTTTTCTGGGGATTTTCTGAGAGATATTATTCTGTCTTCTCATTTTGTTTGACTTTCTATGTTTGTTTGCATGAATTAGATACAATAGCTACCTCTCTCAGCCTTGAAAAAGTGGCATTACGTAGAAGTGGCTCCTGTTTAGGCTTGTGTGCCAGTGGTTTCGGCAGGCTGGTAGGAGCAAAGCAAGCGCTTAAAGCCATCCAGGGCCCTGCCTCATCAAGCTGGAGCAGATGTAGGTGGGGAGACCATGTGTGTGTAACAATGTCCTGTTGATTGGTTGTGCTTGCTCTTTTTGCTTGGGGCCAAAATGGGCTCAGGCAATGCATTGGGAACAAGTTGAAGCAACCTTGCAGGTAGGCTAGAGCACCTGGATAGAGGCCCTGCCCACCCTTTGGAGGGGGAGGGAGATGTAAACAATGCTGCTCACTTCCCTTCTGACCCACAGAATTCACTGGGATCCCAGAGAGCTCCCACAGCTCCCAGCTTTCTCTATACAGTCTCTCTCCTGTTTATTGTAACAAAACTCATCCTGTGTAGATGCAGCCTCTGTGTAAGCATTCCGTGCTGCATAGTTTTGGGAAGCTGGTTGGAGCAGAGCAGGCGGTTACAGCCTGGGGTACTGGTTAGCCTTCTGCCTACTCCCCTTTGTTCAGAGTCTAAAAGCTCCAAGCATTATAGTTGAGAACAGGCTGTGGAGATCTTGCAGGTAGGCCAAAGCACGGAAATTGAGCCCACTGCTACCCTATCTAAGTGGAGGCGGCTGTAAACAATGGTGCTCAATGGCTCCTCCTGCAGGGAGAATTTCTGCAGCTCTTGGAAGGCTCCCATAGCTTCCCAGTCTTTTCTATTCATCTCT